GTGGGTGGGGCGGCCCCACCCTCTTCCTGTGGCTTCTGGAGGCTCCAGCTTCCCAAATGTGCAGCGCAGGCGCCCACCTGAACGGGCCTGAGGTGGGTGGGCTAGGGCTCACGAGTGGGGCTCCATCCTTACTGGGCCCTCCTGCTTTCCCCAGGTGACGTCAACGTTGTCCAGCCCAACTACCCTGCGGCCGCCCGAGACTTCCTGTGGGCCTTCCGCAGCGGGGTGCTGGGCCCCGTGATGCTGGACCGGGACCTCCTGCAGGGCCCCCCTGCGGTGGAGCCCTGACTAGTCCAGCAGGAGGGCCTCGCGGCTCCATGGCCAGGGGTGGGCGCCCAGGAGTCCCCTGTCCACAGGCTCCTTGCTGGTCACTGTATACTCCCCTGTCTCTGCTCTAGGAAGGAGTCCGTGCCCTCCTGCTGCACAGCCCAGCCCCTGGTTACAGGGGACTGAGCCTGGGTATGGACATCAGGGCAGTGGACGTCCCTGGGTGCCTGGCGGGGGGAGGAAACTCACTCATGTTCAGTATCTCCTAAATATTCTCTTGAGGAGAAGCTGGTGTTTTCTCAGAAGGATTTGAAAGTGTAATCTGTAATTTTAAAATTAAAAGGCCTGTCTCTGTGGTTGGCCCTTTCGTTGTGCACCTGTGCAGCCCCTTGGGCCCCTCACCAAAGAAAAACTTAGTACCCCTCACCACTTAGTACCCAAGGCTCTTGTGTAAGAATCCCGACACGGAGTCCTGGGTCCTGCAATAAGAAACAGTCTCATTGGCAGCAGAGTGTTTATTTCACTACTAAAACGTGCACACACACACGGACAAGAGGTCCCAAGTAGCCGTGGCAGAACCCAAGGACCACCTGTCCCCTCGGTGGCCGGGGCCGCTCTGCTCACAGCTCAGCCACACACAGGCCAGTGTGGTCAGCGGAGACCCTGGGCCTCCCCACCACCTCCCAGCACCTTCCAGCTAATGAGACAGCAGGACTTTTTCCCGGAGGCAGTGCCCAGCATTGCTGTGGTCGCACCTGAAGGGGTGCAGGAACATGACCACCAGCTTGCATTCTGGAGAGGCTGGAGCTGGGAAGGGGTGGGGGTGGGGTAGGGCACCTGGTCAGCAGCCCCGGCCCTTCCTGTAGGCGCCCCTCCAGGTCCTGCCGCCCCGTGTGGCTGCCCCACACCCAGCACACCTGCCAAGTCTCCTGAGACACCCACCGGCCTTCTGCCGGAACCCTGACCCATAGGGGTGGGAAGCTTTCAGAGACTCGGAGCTGTGCCAGACGCCAGATGCCGCTGGAGTCGGGCTGGTGTGTGGAGCAGCTTGACGAGAGTGGTGTTTCCATCACATCCTGAGTGTGCTGGCGGCTCACGCTGCAGAGGCACGTGAAGGTCTGGGCCAGCCACAGTCCAGGTCCGGGTGGGTCTCTGAGGCTGAGCACAGCCTGGCCGGGCCCATCAGGGAGAACTCAGTCAACCAAGGGGCCGCCCTGATGGGTCCCCCTGTTCAAGATTTTCAAACGGTCACGCTGCCTCTGAGGCCCCAGCCAGGGCTTGGCCACGACCTGTTGGTCTTTGGGAGCATCGAACTTGGTTTGGGAGGATGGAGGGCATCTGGGCGCCGCACCCAAGAATGCTGGCAGTGTGGACACAGGAGGCTGCAGGGAGCTGCGTCCTGCAGCAGAGCGCCTGGGTCTTTGGAGGAAAGTGCTTGGTCCAGGTCCCGCGGATAATCTGGAGACCTTCACTGTAACCAGAGCCGAGTGCCAGCTGTGGGAGAGCAGAGGTGGCACGGCTCCTGGGAGATGCTGGTCTTGGCACTGGCGTCCACCAGCTGAGTCCAAAGGCCCTGCAGCCCAGGGGCGGGCGAGGGTAGATTCTGGAGGCAGCCCTGCTGGGGAGGCTCCTGCTGAGCACAGGAGAGCCTGAGACGGAAGCCAGACCCCAGAGCCGTCCTTCTGAGGGACAAGAGGCTATTCAAGCCAGAGGACGTGTGAAAGAGCTGGGGCCCCAGGCTGAGCTCATGGCCAGTGGCCCAGGCTGGCGGCTTGAGGGAAAGGCACCTGAGAGGTGAAAGGCTGGCCTTCCGCACGGGTGTTGAATGCCAGCGGCAAACTCTTGTCAGGACGCGCCCTGTGGTTTCTTCAGAGGCCGCTCTGGCCTCGTTCTGACAACCCTCGGGCTGTGGGGGAAGCTCAGCTTCTCCTGGGCTTTTTCCTTCTGCTGGACAGGTGCCCTCACATCTGGTGGTACTTGCTGGGCACTGGGCCCTGCCTTGTGGCCATGCCGGCCGTGGGTCTGACTGGAGCCCCAGCCCCTCCAGTCCACCTCGCTCTCAGCTTCTGAGGGGCTGCCTGCCACAGCTGCCGTCCCCGAGTACAGGTGGGCTCTTATCCTGGAACGTGGACCTGGAGCTCGGAGCGAATGGAAAACTCTTGAAGTTTAAACAGATGTTCTTTTTCTTCCAAAATAGGTCCAAGAAGAGTTGTTTCAAGTCAGAGCAAAGTGGCTTTAAGGGAGCTCCTGGCGGCGGGTCTCGCAAAGCATCTGCCCAGGGGGCGACATGGGTCCTGGGCCCGAGGGCAGGGGCAAGGCGTGGGCAGTTCCTGTGGGCGAGGGTATCCTGGGAGCCATCTGGACAACCACGGGGCCACGTCTGGGCTCACTAATCCACAGATGTGGCCCCCTTCCTTTCTGGACAGGCAGGCAGCACACTACAGCCTGTGAGGGAAACCTCTCCTCTCCCCCAAATCCTCAAGTCCTTTGGCCCACTGGGGCTGTTTCTGGGGGGGACGCCACCACGTCCTCAGGGGTGTGGCCGAACCAGCCCAGCCTGAGGGCCCACCTCTCTGCCTGGTGGTCAGCACTGTCCACACCTCTCAGGTGTCCAGGTGGGGTCAGGGGAGCTGGAGTGGCCTGAGCAGCTTGTAGAGTGGTAGGCAGCTGGCCAGGATGGTGCAGGAACCTCAGGACACCTGCCTTTCTGGCTGGGGAGTACCCTAACCTCCAAGTGGCAGGCAGGGCATCCTGGAGCTGAGGGGCCACTGGTCCCCTGGTAGGGTGGGAGGTGCGGAGGCTGGGGAGGGGATTGGGCAGGACGGGGAACAGGAGGTGCGAGGCTGCTGGACTGTCGGGAGTTGGCCACGCAGCTCCTCTGGGCTCAGAGGCCTTGGGCAGTGGAGGCAAGGGGCGCTCAGTGCTGGGCAGCCTCTGTGGTGGCCTGCGGGGCAGGCGCGGGCTGGGGGCAGATCTGACCCCCGAGCCCAGCCCGGCCTAGGGCCGCAGCAGCCCCAGGGCGCCCAGGGCGCCGCCCAGCAGCAGGCAGAGGTGAGGGTCGCCCGTGGGCCCCGCGCCCGAAGTCCACGCCCGGTAGCTGTAGACGCTTCGGTTCGTTCCGTTGCCGCCGGGTGCGCCGTCCTCGTCGTCTTCCGGGCCATGCTCCCCGGGCCCCGCGGCCCTCCTCCAGCTCGAGCCCGTCGCCAGGCCCGCGGCTGCCCCCGCCGCTGCCCCCGCCGCCGCTCCC